CTCTAAACCCTAAACGCAAAACCCTAAACCCTAAACCCAACGGGATATGTGTTTGGATCTTCGCAAGTCGGCTGGGTTCGTGGCTTTCGTAAATGGCTTGCTTGGGGCTTTGGATAATGTAGGAACCTGATTAAGAAACCTTAGGCCTTTGTTAGGACTCCTTATATGCATCCTACAATTTTGGGGGTTATAGGGCCAGGGTTTCTTAATCAGGTTCCTACATTGCCTGAAGCTAAAACCTCCAGTAACCCCCAATATTAAGTACAACCTGTTTCTAATGTTCTGTCTTAATAAAGGAAACCACGAAGAGCAAAAATGTATTACTCAGGAACCTAGACCCTAAACCCTAAACCCTAAACCCTGGACCCTAAACCCTAAACCCTAAACCCTAAACCCTAAACCCTGAACCGTAAACCCTGAACCCTAAACCCTAAACCCTAAACCCTAAACCCTGAACCGTAAACCCTGAACCCCGAACCCCAGCCCGCAAAAGCTCCTCACACAAACCTGAGCCCAACCATTCCGAAAGAAGACAAAGGACGGTTAGGGCTTAGGGTTTAGGGTTTAGGGTTTAGGGTTTAGGGTGTAGGGTTTAAGCCAGAAAGTTGGAACATGGCTTTAGGAGGATTAGTGCTAGGATCCCTTATACTTTACCTTGGGGGCATGGAGATAATGATGTTGAAGCTTTCTGGCTTCTACTGTAGGGTTTAGGGTTTTAGGGCTCCAGGATGCCCGGTAACCTAGGAATAAAAAAGGGCTGCCTTTTGGTATTGGGTAACTTCATAGGGAACCTAGGACTACAAAAAGGGAATAAGGGTACTACTGGGCATCTTAGGGTTCAGGGTTACTTGGAGGGTCGGGGGACTTAGTAAGTAGGTAGTAAGCAGACCTATACGTACCCTAAACGGGACCCTAATTGGGGTTATGGTGCGTAAAAGTCCCTAAAATAACCAGTTACTAAGTCCTCCGACCCCTCAAGTAGGGGTTTTGGACGAAATGGTCAGACCCCCTGGGGCTGCCACACTCAGGACATGCAGCTGGAGTCAACACTCCTGCTGACCCAAACCCCCAAGGGTCCAAAGGACCCACTAATCATGTACTTGGGTTTCGGATAGTAGTTCTGTAGGTTACTATTTGGGAGGGTGTATGATAATTGGGTACTTGGACCCTAAGGGACAGGCTTTGCTTTAAGGGTTTAGGTTTTAAGGTTGAGGGTTTTAGGGTCCAAGCTCTTGGGTGCCAGAATAAAGCCCCAGAAGGCGTTTCTTTAAGGGCTCCTCTGTTGGTAGGAGACTAGGATAGGGTTTGAGGGTGTATTCTGATATGTGCATGTAGGGACTATGCAGAGGAACCTTGAACGATCTTCAAACACCCTAAACCCTGAACCCTAAACCCCTAAACACTAAACCCTAAACACCTAAACCCTAAACCTACCCGTAGGGCTATAGGATTCTAGGGTTCTCGGATTTAGGGCTCCCTACTGTCGGGTACCATGGGGAACTAAAGGTTAATTTTTTTGGTTATATAGGATTTATATAGTCGGTTTAGGATTTAGGGTTTGCTTGGAGGGTCGGGGGACTTAGTAACTTGTTATTTTAGGGACTTATAAGTACCATAACCCTAATTAGGGTCCCTTTTAAGGTACTTATAAGTCTAATTACTTACTACGTACTTACTAAGTCCCCCGACCCTCCAAGTAGGGTTTAAGGGATTAGATAGGGACTGTACCACCCAAAAAAGGTTAAAGGTTACCTACTCTACTACTAGGGCTCTTAGCGTTAGTTCTGAGGGCGTCTCGTGGGTTTATCGGAGCTGTGAAGTAACCAGGGAGAAAAACGTATCAACTACTGTTGATGATATAAACCCTGCATTAGCTTAAGGACCCTAAACTATGGGAATTATGGCACATTTCTTATTATGGGTTATGCAGGATTTGTGTCATCAGCAGTAAACCCCGAACCCCCTATAGATCCCTTTAAAGGAACCCCTTACAGGTACCCTTGTAGATCCCTTTAAAGGAACCGCAGGATTTATCATCAACCGTAGGGCACATCAACAGTCTCAACAGTATTACTTCATGCCGGATCCTTCAAGGAGCAAGCCCCCCCCCCCAACGACAGCAATAAAGTATGGCCTTCCAGAACCCAGGATTAGGGTTTAGGGATTAGGGATTAGGGTTTAGGGTTTAGTGATTTGGCTTTAGGGTTTAGGGTTTAGATTTTAGGACCCTTGCTCCAGAATCTGAGTTTGAATTTGACTGAATCTCGGCATCAAGCGTCGCTCACGAGATAACCAGACGCTTTCTGCAGTGCCAGCCAACGGATCAGCAGGTGGACAGGGAGGAGGTCTCATCGGCCTGGGCTTTCGCATACTTGTCCCTCATGTCATTGTGATCGCCACACCACCAAGCTGGAAATCCAATGATCGAGGCCCTCACCGAACCGGGAGGGAGAGGCCCATTTCCCCCAGATGGATCATACCTGCTGGTATCGTGCGCCGCGCTCCTATCGCCAGTTTGGGCATGAAGACGCCGAGGGGTGGTTGCTCTCCTGTGCGCCATCCTGCTATAATGCTTCTGCTTTGTCACCACAAGCAAATCTCCGCTTAGGGGTTTAGGGTTTAGGGGTTTAGGGTTCTAGGGGTTTAGGGTTTAGGGGTTTAGGGGTTTAGGGTTTAGGGTTTAGGCGTTTAAGGCTGAGGGTGTAGTCTATATTTAGTTAAGGGCAGCTTACTTTATTCGTGGATGTTGCTCATTGTTGCCCTGTCAGGCGCTAAGCCCCAAGCCCAGAACCCTTCCCCAACACCCTCAACGCTAAACCAAAACCCTAAACCCCAAACCCTAAACCCCAAACCCTAAACCCCAAACCCTAAACCCTAAACCCCAAACCCCAAACCCTAAACCCTAAACCCCAAACCCTAAACCCCAAACCCTAAACCCTAAACCCTAAACCCAAACCAGCAAAGGTATGAATCCCGATGCTTGAAGTAAGGAGTGGAATCCCGAGGTCTTCAACCCAGAACCGACCGAAACCCAGAACCCTAATCCCTACGCCTCAAACCCTAACTAACCAGTGGCTTTGGGGGTTCCCTTGGCTCTTTAGCTCCTTATTTCATAGGAATTATCATCATCACTGGCTCCTTAGCTCCCATAATATCAATGGTTAGCTAAACCCTAAACCCTATGCCTCAAACCCTAAAGCCTAAGCCCTTAACCCTATGCCTCAAACCCTAAAACCTACGCCCTAGACCTTAAACCCTCTGTACACCCCCTAAAGAGGAGGTCTGCAAGTCCTGCCAAGGGATTCCTCGGCGCGAGGGAGTTCGCTACCGACCAAAGGTGCCCTTGTACAAAAAGGGCTGCGCTGGCAAGCAGTGGAGGCAAAAGGGCTCTATAAGGAACCTTAAATTGTTACCCAGGATCGACCCTTGTGTACCTTTAAGGGCTCTAGAAGGGCTCTGTAGGGAATCTAGAAGTGCTACAGAAGGGTTCTGCAAGGGTTCTTTGGAATTCAGAGTTTGGGGCTTGGGGGTTCAGGGTTGAGTGGTTTTGGGCGTAGGAGCAGTGGCAAGAAGCGCAGCATCTATGCTAGGAGTCAAAGTATACTTGGAGGCCCTGTTGACTTAGTAAGTCTACTTAGTATCCCCTAGAAACCCAATTATAATCCCCATAACCCACCTTACTAATCCTAGTTACTAAGTCAAAAGGGCCTCCAAGTACGGATAAAGTATAGGGTTTGGTTCTAGGGGGTTTCGGGGTTCCGGGTTTCGGGCTTCACCCCAAATCCCGTAGCCACCACTTAAAAGTTCAAGATTCGGAGTCTAGAGTTTATGAGGGTTTAGGATTCGGGGTGTGCACGACACTTGAGGATTGAAGGTTTAGTCAAGTGTGTGGGTTTCAGGGCTGAGTGCTTAGGGCGTTGAGCTTGGAGGCCCTTTTGACTTAGTAAGTAGGGTCAGTAAGGTGGATTATGGGGATTATAACAGGGTTTATAGGGGATACTAAGTAGACTTACTAAGTCAAAAGGGCCTCCAAGTGAGCTTGGAGTTCAAAGTTGAGGGTGCAGGGGTTTGGGGGCTTGAGGGCTCTAGGCGTTAACGGGTTGGGGATCCCAGGGCTAAGGGTCCGAAATGGCAAAGGGCCTTATCCAAAGCCTTGCAGACCCTAAGCCCGAAAACCAGATCTTAAACCCCAATACCTGAACCTAACTGGGTTCTTGTTAAGGAACTTAGTTTAAGTTACCATAATAAGGAAACCCTATTATTTACGATAGATCCCAATTATGGTAACTTAAATTAAGTTCCTTAACAAGAACCCAGTAAACCCTGAGTGGTGGTGGGGGTGGTTCTTGTTCCGTCAATGGGTCAGCGCAGAGAGCCAGCAGTCAAACGCAACCCCAAACCCCAATGGGCTCATGGTTTAGGATTAAGGGGTTTACGAATTAAGTAAACCCCTAACCCAGAGAGCCCAATACCCCTTAATCAAGGAATATAGCAAAAATCATAATGTGAAGCCCCTTATAATTTAAGCCATATTCCTTAATTAAGGGGTATTGGGCTCGCTGGGAATACCACAAGATCCTAAACCCCTACACCTTTTTGTTCGCGCCGGGCGGAAGATCTGAAAGTCGCGGCATCACCGACCAGAGGCGACCCGAAATCACGCTCCAAAAGGTTCCTTGTAAGGCTTTCAACCTACTTGTCGGGTATCATGGAGAACTAAATTGAGGTTAACCTTTTTGGCTTTCTAATGTCGTTTACCGATTAAGATACCCCCCCAGATTAGACGGGGCGGTCCCGGGCATGTCATGGGCTTAATGAAGAAGTCCATTAGACCCCACCCCTATAGTACCGGAGCTCATTTAAACCCCCCCCGATTAGGCGGGGCCATCCCCGAAAATCCCCGAAATAAGGATTTAGGGGATTTAGAGGCTTATGACTTAACCCTAAACCCCAAACCCTGAAGCCTAAACCGTAAAGAACTCATGATGGCAGACTTTTCCTCATGGGACCAGCTCATGTCCAGCAGAGCTAAGCTTGTACTTAGGGGCAATGTTCCTGCCCAATCTGCGGGCTTCCCTCCTCATCCAGTATGCGAGGAGCTTACCATCATCGCAGCTCAGGCAGCCTGAGGCATGCCGGCAGCGGCTGCAGACTCCAATCTCATAGAGTTCGATTCGATTTCTCTCATCCCAGTATGCCTGAGGCATGTCCTCGATCTCAAGGACTTTGCCTTGGCTAATGACCTCATGGGCCATCTTCTGAAGCGCAGTCAGCTCAAGGCCTTTGCTCATGCGTTTCTCAGCCATGGCCGCCATGTGCTCTCGCTCTTTTTTCATCCTGGGAAGCCCAGGAAGAAAAGGGTCCCTGTATGTCTAAGACTAATTACAAAAGGGAAAATGGGCCTAAATACTAAAGGTCCGAGTATCTTGATTCCCAAGGCCTCCTCCTTCTTCTTATGCTGTTTCAGCTCATCCAGTCGCTTGGTCTGCTCAGTGCGGAGAGCATTTGTGACCTTATGCAGCCGCTCATGCCACTTCTTCGCCGAATGCGAAGGCCACCCAGTGCTGGCCTTTCCAAACCCCATGGCCTTTGCGGCCTCTTGCTCCATGGCAGCCAGAACATGGAATCCGCACTCATCGACTCCCTTGATCATCGACTCCCTTGAAGACCTTGTTCCTGCGAGGAGGCAGCACCGCCTCATGCACCAGGCCCATGGAGAGCAGGGATGCCAAGATTTTCTCAGCGTAGTCCCTGCATCGCTGGGACTCATCCGGCAGGGAGTCATAGTACCTCAGGGCTGGCTCTGCGTGCGAATGCGAAATAAGGAGTCCCCATGCACAACTCTACCTTATAATAGGGAAAAGGAGGAAAAAGCATGGTGTGCCTCACTTTGGGAGTCTCAGACTCATGTGTCGCATCTATGACGAGCAAAACCCAGTGCCCAGCAGACCCCAGGGGGAGGAAGTTCAGTGTATGAGCACTCATCTGCTTTTTGATGCACTCAATGAATGCATCCACATCCACTTTGGCATTGTCATGATGCAGATATAGTGGCTGTGTCCATCCAGGACTAATGAAGCCCATGCTCTTGCAGGGCATTGAGCTCTGGAGCATGTGCCAAAGCAGGACTCGCCAGCCCAAATGCAGCTGTTGCAGCTCTATGCCGCCGGCCTCAATGGCTGGGTATGGGAGGATGTGAACCTGCTCAAGCCCATCCAGCTGATCCAGGTCCTGGCTCAAGAGCCCCATGTCAAGCAGCATTTCCTGCTTCCAGGCCCGGTAGAAGGACATCTGGGCCCACTTCCACACCTTATGCTCACCCTCTGGCAATCGCTCACAATGGCTCTTGCTGACCCATGCCTTCTGCTGCTTGGGGAAGAAATGGTCCTTCTCCAGCAGCATGTGGCAGTTCTGACGGCCGACACCCAGAATGGACCCATGCCGCCCATACAGCGAAATGCCAGCGTCCTGCGGCTAGGGAGAGCTTATGATGGGCTTTGCTCAACCAGCTAATTTTCTCTCGAACCCACAGGCCTCATTGACCATCCTCCATGTGCCCTTGGTCATGTCATGCTCACCAGTGTCAGCACTCATAGCTGGTGGGCCGGGTGGCGGAGGCAATGGCGGCTCAGGGAGCTCATCCACCGCTTTGCTCAATGCGTTTTTCTTGAGCTGCTTCTTATGCTGCTTTTTGGCCATCTTGCCCATCTTGGGCAAGCTCATGCCCTTGGCCTTGGCTTCGGCCTTGGCCTGGGCCTTCGCCTTGGCCTTCGCCTTGCCTCTCTTCGAGGCCGATGCTGGCAGATCCCTCATGGCGGCATACCTTGGCTGGTGGCATGACAGGAGGAGAGTCTCATGGGGGTTTAGGGCAAGTAGGAAGGGCGAGGAGCCTGGAGGTTTCCTGCATGCTTGCTCTCAGCTCCTCCCGGACCTCATCCGTGAGCTGATGCTCCTGTTGTTTCTTCTGCCGCCTGGTCTTATTCTTCTCTCTTCTCCTCTCCCTCTTTGCCTTGGCTTGATCGCTCATGGTCGCCTCTCTTGCCAGCATGGCCCTTCTCAGGTCTAATGGCATCTGGAACTTGGCGCATGCCTGCCATTCAGGCTCGGAATGCTCATCAAATGGGATGTCCTCCCAGCTTGGGGCATCCTTGAACCCATCGTTGTAGTGCCAATGGGCCAGGTCACTCAACTCAGTGGCTCCCTCAATGCGAGCCCAATTGGGTTTCTCAATGTCTCCATTGTTCTCATGCTGATACCGATTGGCGACCCATGTCGGATGGATCCTCTTGCAGCCCAATGGCTTGTCCTTGGCCCATGCCTCGTGATCGCACTTCCTCATCTTGCCATGCTCATCAGGTCTCAGGGCCAAGAACCCATTGCGGCGGAGCCCAGCCAGGACCCATTCCGGCTTCTCATTCATCTGGATCATGTGCTCCATGGCAGCGTCGATGGCCAATGCCATCTCCTTGATGCCCATCTTCGGGAACTGCTGCTCATGGTGCCCATCCTCCTCATTCCGGCGAGCCGCCTGCCTCATGCTCTGCTCATCGATGGCTCTTCTCACTGATGCCTTAAAGGCATGTGAAAAATCTGTATCAGTGAGCTGTAATGCTGATGTCATCTTCGGCATGATGCGCGACTGAACCTGATGCCCCATGAAGAGGGTCTTGACCGTATCTGATGTGAATGCAGGCCCATACGCATCCCTCATCCACACACTCAATGGGAACTGCCTAGCCTGATCCTTTATGACCCATGGCAAGCAAATCCCATCGCTGTTGGATGCAGGCTGGCTCATGACGGAGAAATGCCGGAATGCTTGTGGCATCTCATCTCGCAGCTTTCGCCAGCTGATGAGAGCTCGGCCGCAGCTCTCGAAGGCCACTGCATGAGAGGCATTCTGATAGTTCCCGGCCAGCATGCACGGTTGGATAACATTGACGAGCATGGGAAATGGAAAGAGGATGAGACATTCTTCTACATGGGTCAAGAGAGACGCCACATCAGAGGTGGGGGTCTTCTCATGGTCGAAGAAGCCACTCACGAGCTGCATGGCCTCAAATGTGACCCTGTACCTATCGGCCTTCTCTTGCCGACGGGTGGTCAAATGGGCCATCTCATGCTTCTCATCTGGCATGGCGAGCTTCCACTCATCACCTGGTTCCTCCTGCGCATGTGGCTGCTTCTCATGATGCTCCTCAGCTTTCGACTCCTCATGAGGCTCCTCAGCTTTCGACTCCTCATGAGGCTCCTCAGCTGCCGGGTGTGTCTCATCTGCGGTCTGCTGCGGCTCATGCAGGTGCGGATGCTGCTTCTTCTTCTTGAGGCCTGCTACTTCCCATGAAGCCATGATTTCTTTCTTGGACCCACACTTCAGCCAGAGTGGCACCTGATCGGAGAAGCCCAGAACACATGCCTTTCTAATGGCTGGGGTGATCTCATTGGGCCTGGCAAAGTACTGTCTCATGAAGTCCTCATCTGCTGATGCCACCTTGTGAATGCACCAGTCATGGTGTTGCCACGAGAGCTCAGCCCTCACCTGCTGCTCCACGGAACTGATCTGGGTCACGAGGTTTGGAACCCTCGTCTCAGCCCCAAGCCATGTGGCCAATGTCTTTGCCCTTTTGTTCATCAGCTTCTCGCTCCCATGCATGGCCTCAATCTGCTTCTCTGCAAGCTTTAGCTTCACCTCATGCTGCTGCCGCTCCTCTGTGCTCATGTCCTTACTCTTCTCAGACTCAAGCAGCTCCGTAAGCTCAACCATGTGTTCCTGAAGGAGCAGCTCATACTGCCATGCCAGGTGCCGCTGCAGCACCTGATGACCATGGGCTCGTTCTTTGTCAAGCCAATGGCCAAGTTTCTGGACGACCTCAGGGAATTGTCGCTTGGCACCAGCACCTTCTGCTCTCATCCTTGGCCTCTGCTTGGAATGCTCCCCACCGATCATGTTGCCATGGTCCTTCTTTTCGAGCTGAGCCCATGTGCTCCTGTTGGCCCAGATGTCCTGCAGCTTGTCCAACCTCATCTTGCTCTTCTTTGCAAAGGCCTTGAGCATGTCTTGCTCAGCGGGATGGTGCCCACGGGTCTCATAGATTTGCTGGCAGATGCGGTTCTTCATGGACACAGACAACTCAAACTGCCGAGGTTTCTCATTGGCCTTTCTCCGGTTGGACTTCTGGCCACCCATGATCCCTCTCCTTTCGCTGACCGGCTTCATGGGCCGACCTCCGAACCTCCCAAACTTCTTGCCCACCTCCTGCTGCAGCTTGGGCATGACATCCTCATGGGCTGTCAGGGTCAGCTTCTTCCCATCAAGCGACAGCTGCCCACTCTTCAACATCTCACGAAGAGTGTCTTCCATGCGATTTCTTGGCCTCTTGGGCGGCGGACTGGGCGTCTCATGGATGCTGCTGTCGTCAGAGAAGGATGACGGAGACCGGAAGAACTTATGCAGCCTTGACTGCTTGGACTCGGCTGATGAAGCCGATCCAAAGCTCAGCTGTCGCTTGACACGGTCCATGGGTGGGCTCATGCTCTCATCCGCTTCTTTCTGTGCCACAGGAGTCTGGCAGAGGGCTTTGTCCTCATCGTCCAGGACTATGGCTGTCTCCTCATTCTCTTGCTCCTGCTCATGCTGCGACTCATCACCGCCTCCCCTCATTCGCATCATGCTTCGCCAGTACTCCCTTTCTGCCTTCTCCTGCACAAGCAGAAGCAAGACATTTATTGATTATCTTTTTCTCTGCCCAGAATAGGGCAGGAAGCCCCCCAAGAATAGCAGGAAAGCCCCCCCGATTAACAGGGTCCGGCCCGGGACAAGGGATTTGCAGGCCCTTTGCTTTGACCTAGAAAGCCCGAAGCTTTGAGATGGAAGGGTCAGAGATCCCTGGCCTTGGGATCCCTGGGATTTCGGTGATATCTTCTGCTGCCAGAAACAGGTGGTTCCCTAATTAAACCGTATATAAAAAGAGTAGGTTTGTCAAGTTTTCCAAGGCTACCCCTTTGCAGGCCCCGCCCCCCCCAGAATAGCAGGAAACCCCCCCCGATTAACAGGGTCCGGCCCGGGACCAGGGATTTGCAGGCCCTTGGCTTTGACCTAGAAAGCCCGAAGCTTTGAGATGGAAGGGTCAGAGATCCCTGGCCTTGGGATCCTGGGATTTCGGTGATATCTTCTGCTGCCAGAAACAGGTGGTTCCCTAATTAAACCGTATATAAAAAGACTTAGGTTTGTCAAGTTTTCCAAGGCTACCCCTTTGCAGGCCCCGCCCCCCCCAGAATAGCAGGAAACCCCCCCCGATTAACAGGGTCCGGCCCGGGACCAGGGATTTGGCTTTGACCTAGAAAGCCCGAAGCTTTGAGATGGAAGGGTCAGAGATCCCTGGCCTTGGGATCCCTGGATTTCGGTGATATCTTCTGCTGCCAGAAACAGGTGGTTCCCTAATTAAACCGTATATAAAAAGACTAGGTTTGTCAAGTTTTCCAAGGCTACCCCTTTGCAGGCCCCGCCCCCCCCAGAATAGCAGGAAACCCCCCCCGATTAACAGGGTCCGGCCCGGGGCCAGGGATTTGCAGGCCCTTTGCTTTGACCTAGAAAGCCCGAAGCTTTGAGATGGCAGGGTCAGAGATCCCTGGCCTTGGGATCCCTGGGATTTCGGTGATATCTTCTGCTGCCAGAAACAGGTGGTTCCCTAATTAAACCGTATATAAAAAGAATAGGTTTGTCAAGTTTTCCAAGGCTACCCCTTTGCAGGCCCCGCCCCCCCCAGAATAGCAGGAAACCCCCCCCGATTAACAGGGTCCGGCCCGGGACCAGGGATTTGCAAGCCCTTGGCTTTGTCCTAGAAAGCCCGTAGCTTTGAGATGGAAGGGTCAGAGATCCCTGGCCTTGGGATCCCTGGGATTTCGGCGATATCTTCTGCTGCCAGAAACAGGTGGCTCCCTAATTAAACCGTATATAAAAAGACTAGGTTTGTCAAGTTTTCCAAGGCTACCCCTTTGCAGGCCCCGCCCCCCCCAGAATAGCAGGAAACCCCCCCCGATTAACAGGGTCCGGCCCGGGACCAGGGATTTGCAGGCCCTTGGCTTTGACCTAGAAAGCCCGAAGCTTTGAGAATATATCAGGAATAGAAGGACTTTCGATTGGAGAATATCAGAGATATAAGGAATGAGGGTTGGAGAATATATCAGAGATATAAGGATTTTCTATTGGAGAATATCCGAGATATAAGGAATGAGGATTGGAGAATATATCAGAGATATAAGGAATTTCGATTGGAGAATATCAGAGATATAAGGAATGAGGATTGGAGAATATATCAGAGATATAAAGAATTTCCATTGGAGAATATCCGAGATATAAGGAATGAGGATTGGAGAATATATCAGAGATATAAGGAATTTCGATTGGAGAATATCAGAGATATAAGGAATGAGGATTGGAGAATAGTTATATCAGAGACGGAAAACATGTTCATCACAGGCACATTTACATGCTTTCCCCATGCTGGCCTTGCTGATGGCTTCAGCAGAACTCAGCTCATCCCAATCGAACCATGAGTTTGATCGCTTGCTCAGCTCATTGTCTTCAGCAGCATCTAACTCGTCCCAATCGAAGAATGCAGAGGTCTTCAATTGCTCATGCTGGCGCTTGAGTCGTCGCTCCTTTTTCGCATGCGTCTTGAATGCCTTTCTCATGATGCTGCGAATCGCATGGTACTGCGAATGCCTTGTCAACTGCATGCTCAGAATGCTCTCATGCAGCCTCTGCCGCAAGCCCTCATCTCGAATGGGAGCTGGCATGATCTGAGGCATGGGCTCACTGCATGCTGCTTTCTTGTCTCTCACAACAGCATGCTTCTTCACTTCTCTCATGCCCTTACTGCTGCGGCTCATGCTGTTGACATGCTCGTGCTGGTAAACATGCTGAGCAACCCCAGTCTTCTCTGACTCATCGGACCATGAGAACCTCCCCATGAAGGAAAAATCATGAAGCTCCCAAGGCTCATTCATCTCATTCCACCTGTTCTCCAGCTCATCCCAGTCGAAGAACATGTCGTTCAAAGCAATGAGCTCATCTTCATCCTCATCTGGTTGCGACAGGATGGCAAACCTGTTGTGGCATGTCACCTGCTCACGAAGACTGATGCTCCACACCATGGCGTGATACAGATGCACACTCACTTGGAAACCTATGTCATGAAAAAGGCACAATGTGAAACTTAATGAAACAAATGCCTAAAGCTCAAAATCACATTTTATCAAAAACTCATGCCCACAGCTCATCCACAATGCTTGTCATGCTCACAGCTGATCGAAAGCACTGCATGTAAGCGGTGTCATGCAGCTCATGCCCACAGCTCATCTAAGTCACTGCATTTGTGCGGCTTCATGCAGCTCATGCCCGCAGCAGTGTGTCAGGTTTGGGCTTTTAGGGTTTAGGGGTTATTTTCAAGGGTTTATATAAGGTTTAAGGATTTAGGGTTTAGGGTTTAGCTAGAAGGGTTTCAGGTTTAGGGTTTTAGGGTTTAATTGGTTAGAAGGGTTTAAGGTTTAGGGTTTTGGGGTTTAGGGTTTAGTTCGAAGGGTTTAAGGTTTAGGGTTTTAGGGTGTAGGGTTTATTTCGAAGGGTTTAAGGTTTAGGGTTTTAGGGTTTAGGGTTAAGTTAAAAGGGTTTAATTAAGGTTTAAGGTTGAGGGTCTAGGGTGTAGTTAAAGGGTTTAGGGATAAGGGCAGTATGGGGTTTGGAGTTTTGGCATTAACTACTTGGAGGATCATGGGACTTAGTAAGTAAGGTTATAAGTACCCTAACTGGGGTTATAAGTATAGTTAATTACCCTAATTATAACCCTAGTTAATTACTAAGTCCCATGATCCTTTAAGTAAGGGCCCAACCCTCCCCATGTGTTTCGCTGCTCTCATGCGAAGATCAGAAAGCCATCCCCTCATCGCACCCATGAAAAATGCCATGCTGCTTCATGCATTGATTACTTACTCATGCGGCGCTATGCCGAGCTTAACCTGATCCTAAACCCTAAACCTTAATTAAACCCCAAACAAACCCAAAGACTAATCTTATCCCTAACTGAACTAATTAATGCAGCTCATGGCTGGCGTCATGGGTGCTTTTAAAAAAGCCCATCTCCTCATGGGATCTACAGCCTTATGGCTCATATACGAGCCCATCTCCTCATGGACTCATGGCCGGGCTGAGGGCTCATGCCTCCGCCTCAATGGGCATGAAATGCCCATGGTAGGACCGCATGATCGCTTTGGGCTCTGGCCCATGGGTCTCAACCCATGCTCTGAATTTGGCCGGCTCATGGTGGGAACGGGCCATGCCGTGCCAGCTTTTGATCAGCCAATGCTTGCCTCGGCTGAATCTTATTACTAGCTAACTAATAAATTACCATAACTTATTTCTCAATAATCTATTAACCGTAACAAATTATGGAAAATTGGTACTTAAATTATTCCCTGAGCTGCCTCTCATGTCGCCCCACACAGTCTCCCATGATACCAGGTCAAAGATCTCCGTCCTGAAAGGGGGGGGGGTTAATTGGGCCTTATGGGGTTTGGGCTCTAATTACTCTCAATTATGAAGGCTGTCCTCATGGCCGACTCCATGTTCTGCGTCACCTCGCTCATGACCATGTGCTTATCGCTGATCTCATCATTGCGAGGATCATACAGCCTGGGTTTAGGGCTTAGGGTTTAATTATGTTAATTAAAGTAGGGGTTAAGTAGGGTTTACTTAGGAGGGTTTAATTAACCCTAATTAAACCTTAAACCCTAAACCCTAATCTAAAAGAAAAGAACTACTGCAGCATCCAGACTCATCGCTGTCATACTCATGGGTCCGGAACACTGCCAGGCTCACCTGCAGGGTTTAGGGTTTAGGGATAGTTATGGTTGTGGGGTTAATTATATAGGGTTTACACGGGTTAGGGGGGGGTTTTATGTTTTTGCCAGGGGCCTCCACCCATGCCACCGTGCATATGATGCGCCAGTGCTGATGCAGCATTGGATGGCTCATGACAATGTCATGCTCCTCATGCACGAACTCAAACCCGAAGCACTCCTAAACCCAATCCTAATTGCACCCTAAACCCTAATTAATTACTTATTATTTAAAAAACACTAATTAATACCAGGGGAGGAGCATAGAGCATCCACGTGTGGAGGAGCTCATCTCTCATCCACTGATCGCAGCGCCATTGCCTCATGTATGGGCTTCAGAGCTTAAAATATGTAATTTACATTCTTATTATGACTAATTAATTACTAATGACGGTCCGAGCCACTGCCAATTGACCAAAACCCATGATCGCCCCGCCATGAGCCTGGTGGCAACATGGCGGAGGCGATCGCGGAAACTGCCATGGACTTCGTCCTTGGCTCAAGACAAATGTAATTAAACCTGTAATACCTCATTAACTAATTAATTTAAAATACAAAAGATGCTTACTTATCCGGCCCATGACGGCTCGCCGCTCCATGTTATGGAGCAACCCATGGATCTGACTCATCAGCTGGCCCATCCTCGGCTCCAAATAATTAATGAATTACTAATGACCCAATCCTAAGTAATTAACCAAGTAATTACTCACAATTGCCAATCATGCCCCAGTCTCTCAGCCATGGTTCCCATGGTTCCCTCGTTGCCGCTCATGT